ATATATACATATGTTGTGGTATACTAATATTACTACACATATGTATATGTATGTAAATGTATAAATACTATATGTATGTAAGTGTAAAGATGATTTCCTATTTTTTTCCTTTTTGTAAAAATGACTGCAACTGTAATATGAATGAATTTCAATTCCATAGTTTTTAGTTTATTCTGTTTGTAATTGGCTTTTTAAACTGATATAAAATAAAGATATTTACATCTCTTTGCTTAAAAATACAAATTTATTTTTTCTAGTATTCGCACTAAAGAAAGACTACACAACTAATTTGTTAGCATATTTTAATTAATGGTAATAAAATCCCGAAATATATAATATATAATAAGATCTCGAAATCCCAGGAGTCACAAAATTGTTCGGGATTGGATGCCTTAGTGTGTATGCATTAAAAAAAGATGCTTTACTTTTCATCTAAAGAAATGTTTGAATTTATTTTACTTTGCTAATAAAAGCTGTCTTAACTAGAGTCCGACCGATTAATCGGCATCGGTACCTGAAAAAAAATGGGAATCGGTCGGACTCTAGTCTTAACTGTTAATAGTTTTATTGTAATTTTTGATCATGACTTCATATGTATCAACATAAGCATTTGCACTATATAAAAGCTATGTAAAATAAAACCGGTTTATACGATTTTCTCTTAACTTCAAAATCGGCAACCATTTTTTTTCAAAATCTAATTTTTGGAATAACTCGAAACCCGGTTTTGGAAAAAGGCGAATAATCGAACACCCTATTACCTACCCATCACGTTTTAAGTACCTAATTCAAAATCTAGATGAAGTTCTTAAAGCTAATATCGAGCCCTAACCGCCAAAATAACGTAAGCGACATTTTTTTCAAAACTTTATTTTTGATGCAGAAATGCATCTAGATGCTCTAGGAATATTTCTGCATCAAAAAGAAAATTTAGAAAAAAATGTTGCTTACGTTATTTTGGCGGTTAGGGCTCGATATGATCGTCGACATTATTTACAAATTGTTAATAATTATTATGGTATGAACTAATACATACCTACTCGTTTACTATTTCACGGTTGTTTATAAAAGCAATTCTCTATGCTAAAAAGATCAGCGACAAATTACGTAATTATAAATTAAAACGAAGCTATGAGCTAATTCATCATCAATGTTAGATAAATGAGTATTTTGATTCTCAGGCACACGCACGTGGCCTTTATTGAGTTCCAAAATTAATGCCGGTTTTGTGACTAAACACGTTTTTTTATGTATACATATATGTATATTCGCTGTTTGATCAATATTTATTGCATTTAATATTGTTGGGAGTTCTTTCGCCGCATGTGTCGGCTCTCAATCTATTGTACTACTTTTACTTCATACATATGTACCCAGTGGGAATTAGGAGCACGTAATAATACCTTATTAGCAACTTACTCTTCACCTGGCAGTCATTACCATTTCCCTGCCGAACGTCCCTTACTTTTACAAAGGCATGGCCGCCTTATGTAAGTTGGAATTTAGAATGTACATTTGGTATCAGACATACTTCTGAGCCGCTTTACAAAGTAAGTTACGTGTAATGCAGAGCAGTCGCTCGGAGTAGTTCGGTGCTTGGAAATAACTTCGGCTGCACGTTATTTTGCAACTGACAACGTAATGTGTCTTCGGAGGTGTTCATTTTGCCCTTTACTAGTAGATGACATTGGCCATGATGACAATTTTGGTACTAAAAACTGAAAGAAAACATGGCTTACCTCGCAAGGTGCTTACCTATTTTCCCAGTGGGTAGGTAAATACTCGTATATATACATATGTATAACCACATTCGAAGCTCAGTTGTTTATTCGTGACAAGTGAAAGTATTTTTAATATGACCTTGGCTTTTTGTTTTTGTCAAACATACCCACAAATATTTTAAAGATTTTTTTTGTGTTGATAAGTTGGCTCCTTCTCTATCAAACTGCAGCTGTGAAGGTAGGTGGTAAATGGAGATCCGAAGCAGGGACATATTAGTAATGAATTCGAGGATTACGATTATATGAGAACGAATACAGTGTCTTTCTTAATTTTCTGCTCAAGTTCTCCTCCTCAAAAGTTGTATAAACACTTTTCGAATTAACAGAGGCTAATAATTCTACAGGGTGCTTTTTGTGCTCGACTACGCAGAGACTGCATATGACAAGTTTGTGCTTTTATACGTTTGAAAGTGTTATTTACTATAGGGATTGTTTTCTTTAACGTTCTTGAGCAGAATCTGGCATTATTAAAGCCCACTTCTCTTCGTATTGTCAAAAATTAAGCTAGTGTTGTTAATTATAGCTTTAATGCTATTATGGCATACCGCTCGCAGATGGGGGTGAACCTATATATCAGGTTTTAAAGTTTCCAACACCACATTTTTTTTTTTTTTTTTCAAAATCTTAAAAGACCTGCAATAATCTCACATGCCGCATGCAGCCTTGGCCCGTCTATCGCATTTTCTGTCTTGCGTTGATTTCGATCTAAAATTTCTGCAAGGCCTTCGGCAAAGGAAAAAGGTACACCTTTTCTATAGAAAGACCGAACATTCCAGGTGCACATCTGTAAATCGTGGTCCCTATTATATCAGCAAGGTTCGTTAACGTTGAAAAGTTTTATCATCCGAGTACTTTTTATCCTTTCATTTCAAGATGAGCGCTTAATCTATTGCTGGGGGATTAATTAGAGGCCGCTTTGTCATAGGCAGATGCTGCTGACTTCAGTAAACCCTAAAACCGTATAGGTCGGAGTTGTCCTACAAAAGCTCCCTCTCTTTGTGCCATGTCCCAAACCTCTCGTGCATAGATTGCTCATATTAGACAAAGATCGCGAACGGGGAAGAGCTACCATATCAAATTACACTACCGCTCGTCAAAGTGTGTATTTGATTTTTTTTTTTTTTTGATTTCGCTTATCCAATCTCATGGCCTGTATGCAGCTCTCAAGAAAAGCAAAAACTTCATATAAAATGACGTACACGAAATGGCTAAGAAATTTTCTTGAGTCAAATTTCCTTAAGGCAGTACGCAGTTCGTAAGGAATTTGCTACGCTTTCTACTACGGTTTTCTAAAAATTTTTGTGAAAAAGAGCACAAGGCAACCCAGGTTTGTAACAGAAATATATGCCCGTTCCATTTTTTCTTGAGGAAAGAGTGAGGCAACAGGCTGGTGAAGCATCAGATGTCAAAATTCCTTGGACACACACACGAAATAATAGCAAATTTTTCTTGACCGTTTTCTTGAGAGCTGCATACAGGCCTTCAACTAGACTACCATGGTGTTTGCATCTTCACTATCTTCTCTCTAATGTCAAATAATCTATGTACATGGGCTTTGGTACTGGTTGGTATCAATCTTATTTGTCTTTCCTTTCACAGTTTTAGGGTGGGTTTCTCAATGTCTGGTCAACACTAACAAAATGTTATGTAGTCGACCACGCCAATAACGATGTTTAACCTGCAGTTAGTATTAACCAGACATTGAGTTACCGGGCCTAAATCGCAATTATAGTTAATCTTCCATTGCTAAATTGTTCTACAGTGATACATCGATAATTTTGTTGAAGTTTCGTTATATTTATATAGCCTTATTCATAAAAAATAAAGTAGCGTTACAAAAGGTTTATAAATTGAAAAATGTATGAAAACATTAATTCATAAAGCTTTTTAAACCTACTTTATTTTTTATGAATTAGGCCAATAGAATATCAAAACCTCGCTACAGCGAAAAATACTAATAATAATAATAATAATAGATTGGCGCTTACACATATGTTAGTGTTTGGCCGAGCTTCTCCTCCAATTTGTGGCGTGCGCCTTGATATTGTCACACAAAACGGAGGGACCTACAGTTTTACGCCGACTCCGAACGGCGATTGTATTTTTATGAGAAGCTGTTTTTCATGGCAGAAATACACTCGGAGGTTTGCCATTGCCTGCCGAGGGACGACCGCTGTTAAGAAAAACCTTTTTCTAAATTTTTTGCGATGTTGCTTTGACCAGGGCTTGAACCCAGGTGCTGCTGAGTGAAAGCGCGCACTGCTTACTACTACACCACAGCGGCCGACGAAAAATACTAAGTTATATAAAAAAAAACATAACTATATTTTAATTTTAATCGGCTTCAATAAAAGCAGGAGGCTTTCATTTCGTTGGAATATTTTTTTGTGTATGTTACCGCATAACTTTGGACCATGTTAACCGATTTCTATAATTCTTTTTTTTTTAATGAAAGGTGGTACCTCAGAGGTGATCCTATACTAATTTAGATCCGATCATGGGATCATGCAGAAATTAACGGTACTCTTAAATGTTTATATGAGAACTAAAGTGGGTTTTTGTTTTTTGCTTAAAAGTTACTTGTTTTATAATAAGACCCTAACCGTCAACATATTCAGAATTCGTTATGTAGAGGCTTTTGAGGTGGAGACTTCGTTATACATATTCACAGAGGCTTTTGCTAACGGGACTTTAACCGTCAATATATTCCGAAGGTTTTCATGCTGAAAATTTCTCCGTTATATCTATGGAGCATTTTTGCGCCGGATATATTGAGTTTTTCGTTTTATCAAGTTTCGTTATATTGGGGTTTCATTATAACAAAAAATTATTTTAGTGGTAGAAGAATAATTCTCCTTGTCTTTGAATACAGCATCTCGGAAAATCTGTTTAAACGCAGTTGTTCGTTCTCTTATGTTCCCTTTGCGGACAGCTGGAAAACTCTTGTGTTCTAACGATCTTAAGTTTGTATGGATCTTTGAGATTTGCAAGTTTCTACCTGCTTCTATCCTATCCTTGTCTTATATTCGTCCTATCCTATCTTATCCTATACTTTATAATCCTATCCGATCCTTTTCTATCTCATCCTATCCGATCCTTTCTTATCCTGTCCTATCCTATCCCATCATAATTATCATCTACTGTCCAATTCCGTTCATTTCATCAGTTTCAAATTTTTCTTCTTATCCTCACGTACACTGCCATTTTCTACTATTTTAGCCCAGTTACGCTCTACACAGGCGAATCCCCTTATGAAAAAATGAAACTAAAGAAAGCCCAACAACGTCTACTTAAACAATACCTAACAGAGCCAAGACGCGAAGGGCGTAAAAAGGATGCGTGTCAAGATTCGAAGAAACCGGAAACTAACGATTGGATAGATGAGAACTCTGGCGAAGAAAGCAATGATGCGAGTGATCTCGATTGCAAGCCGCCAACGGAAATAGTGGAAAACGAAATGAAGTCTAAAAACATTGCACCAGTTGTTCCACCCTGCACGCTCTGGAATGTCAGTCCTCGGCAAAAAACAAAACAAAAGAAAGACCTGCGCATTGAGGAACTCATTGCCGAGCGTGACCAATTCTTGCATTTATGCAGCAAAAATCGTTTTTATGCAAATCCCAATTTCAATCAGCCATGGAGCGTGTTCTCAAAGTAAAATTTAATTTGCAGATTTTTGGATTTATGTACATATTTCATTTAAATTGTTTTTATTTCCTTTACACACAGACTCGCTCACAAGCTATCCAGCGACATTGTCGGCATGATCGAGGAAGATTTTAGTATTGGTGTTTCGAAGTTTGTGCAAGATTTTCTGGATAACGAAACAAAGATCTAGCGTTTGCGACGTATCCTGCGGTTTTAATTTTTTTTTTTTTGTTATGTTGTGTTACTCTTGTATGTGTGTTCGTTTGTATACTTATGTGCAAATTTGATTTTCAAGCTTTTAAAAATTTTCGAGCCAATTTTGGCTGATCTGTGTACAGTACAACGATCCACATAACTAATTTTTGCGAGAGTGTCAAAGGTCAAGGTAGAAAACTTGTAAAAACTTGTCATTTCAATGCTTTGTCCTTTGACACTTTTTCAAAAAAAAAATGTACTGTGTCACGCCAAGCTAGCTCATTTAAAAATTTTCAAATAATTATTATCAATAATACAAAATTTTAAGTATGAAATGGATGAATAATAAAAGCAGTTACTTATATTACAGTTTTGAATGCATAATTTTATTCCTTTTAAATTTGCTGCGTAATTTTGTTTAGGAACAGAACCAAGAACTGGCACATTATCGATACCCAGCATATAACATGTGATCGATAAAGCAGTCGATGTGCTTAAGTGAGGGATGTACCTCCAGTTAGTGTTACATAGATGTGGTGCAAACGGCCCTTAGAATCCCAGCCGGACTTTTTGCGATTTGTTCCGACGTCGTCGTTAAGTGTATGGAGTGCGTATATAAGGAGAAAAATTATTCGAAATTAAGTTAAATACATAAGTTTCCAGACACATTGTAATAGAAGAAGTATACAGAAACAGGGTAATCATTATGAGTAAAATAATTTAAATTAGCATTTAATCAATACCTTTTGATTTTTATTCTTTTTTGCTCAAAAATAATTATTATAAATGAATTTTATTTTTCCACTCAAAAATAATGATTATTTATTAAATTTAAAGCCCATACAGACGCAACCAACTAAAATTTCGACCTGAAAATTTTGAGAGTTATTCTTTTTATTAGGGTATCGCTACCCCAGAAAAGGCAGAGTTTTTGAGTTTTTTGAATGGTCAATATTCTTAAGTGAAAAAATAAAACTGAAAAATAATTAATATCTTTGAGCGAAGAAATAAAAATCATAAAATAAGCATTATTTTTAACTGGGAAAAATAAATATCAAGCATGTAATAATAATTTCCTTTGAGCGAAAACGTAAAACTCAAATATTAATTGTTATTTTTAATATTTACTGGTTAAACTCGAAAAGTAAAAATCATTGCAAATTACAGAAGTACGTACGAACACAAATACGTAAATATAATTAAAATGGTTTTACGACGATTACAACTTGTTAATTTTTTCCGTCCCTGTACAGAAACAAAGGTATGGATTTTTTATTCAGGTCTGTATCTGTTTACTATAAACAAAGTAAATGGTAATTGTAAGTTAGCCGAATAGAATAACTCCGCATTCCATTGGTATAAGGAAATTACCTAATGGACCTTTTCAATATACCCGTTTTACCGTATATAATATCACATACACTCCCCATACACCTTTGATTTGAAATCCTGTGCTAAGTTATTTACTTTTCTGTGCATCTCGTTCGGGAGTAAAGACGAACCCAACTCCAATCAGTCGTTAAACTAAAACGTGCCAGCAGGAAGTGGCGCGCGCTGGCTCCCGCAATTGAATACCCCATAATTTCCGTCTCGCAAATTGGCAGAAATGCGAGCCACGTTACTGTTGGTGGATATGTGGATGGGCATGAGCGAGTACTAACTGTAGATACGGGCGCATCACATTCCATCAATCGATCTGATTTGGTCACTAAAGCAGTGCGGCCATTACCTGGAGCAAGGTTAAGGACAGCAACTGGTGAGGACACCCAAGTTGTAGGTATGTTACCTACATGCAAAGGCGCAATCGGGAATGTGACGTTGTTACACAAGTTCATAGTCGCGGAGATTGTGGATGAAGTCATAATTGGAGTAGACTTCTTATTTGATCAAGGTATGCAGATCGACATGAAGAACAGGATCATGACGTATAACAACATGGAAGTGCTCCTAAGCTTTGTATATGATGGCAGCAAGCGAGTGATCCTCGAGGAAAGCGAACAGATTCCACCAAAGTCAGAAGCAGTTGTTTGGGATAAGATCGATGGAGATTCTGGGACAATGAAAATACCAGCGCAAGGCTAAGGAACTCCTTCGCAGATACTCCAAGATGGTAACAAACCAGGCAGGACTAACGTTGTGAAACATCGGATTGTACTGGTGATGCAAGGCCGATCCGTCAAGCTCCTCGAAGTGTTCCACTTGCCAAACGTGACGTAAGCCAGATCATAAAAGAAATGAGCGAGAGTGGTGTGCTTGAATCATCAGCGAGTCCATGAAGTTCGTCGGTAGTACTTGGTCAAATCCGGTCCTGCGCAGGTTACCGGAAACAGATATCCACTTCCCAGGAACGATGATACTCTGGACTCGTTGACTGGAACAAAGTGGCTCTCAACACTCGACCTTAAGAGCGGTTATTGGCACGTGGAGGCAAGTAACGAGGACAAGGGGAAGACATCTTTCAGCATTGGAGATCGTCCTTGGCAATTCACGGTGATGCCCTTTGGATTATGCAACGCTCCTGCCACTTTTGAAAGACTTATGGACCATGTGCTTAAGGGACTGCATTGGGAAACATGGAGCTACGTCCTAAAGAGTGGTAACAGTTCAAGAAGGATGTGAACTACTTAGGTCACAAAGTGACAACGGAGGGCATCTGCACTACAAATGAAAAGATATAAACAGTAAAGGATTGGCCAAGACCTAGGAACGTGCACGAACTACGAAGTTTTCTTTGGTTATGCACCTACTACCGTCGATTTGTTCCAAATTTCGCCAGCGTTGCTAATAGCCTTCATGAGCTCATTAGGAAAAATAGAGCCTTCGAGTGGGGAGGCGTTCCAAACTCTGAAGGAATGGCTATGTACTGCACCTAAGCTAGCGTATCCCGTTCCAAGTGCAACATTTATTTGGATACGGATGCTAGTGGTTATGGCATAGGGAACTACTGCGTAACTCGGAGAGAACAACTAGCGTTGGTGGAGTGCGTCAAACATTTCCACAAGTACCTCTATGGGCAATGTTTCTGAGTTCGAACGGCTACTACAGTTCAAGAATCCAGAAGGACAGCTATGTCGATGGATTGAGAGACTGCAAAGTTACGCCTTCGCTATTGAACACCGCAAGAGAAGTGTCCACGGAATTGCTGATGCTATGTCTCGACGACCATGTAGCTTGGAATGTGAGCACTGTTCGAAAGCTCAGGCCAAAGAAGACATCATAGAGTGGAAGAAAGAACAGCTACGAAAGTGTCAGCAGGATAATCCAGATCTAGAGCTTTTAATACATAGACTGGAGATGGGCAGACGGCCAACTAATGAGCAAATGGTAGCGGAGAGCCCCATAACAAAGGCATACTGGGCCCAACGGAACAGCTTGAAGTTGATATCTGGCTGGTTGCATATGGTATGGGAAAGTGAAAATGGCCATTGCTCCCGCAATTTAATAGTAGTTCCGAGTGTAAGAGTTTCGGACGTTCTCAAGGAATTCCAAAATAGTACCAATGGAGGGCACCTGCGAATCACGAAGACCCTGGAGGTGATCAAGCAAAGGTTCTATTGGGTTGGCTGTCGGCAATTGGTCGCAGAGTGGATTGTGAACTGCGTGGAGTAAATTGCAGCTAAAGGGCCGAAATCTAGAAGTTATGGCCAGATGAAGCAGTATAACTCAGTTTCACCATTCGAGTGGAATGCTATGGATGTAACAGGCCCATTTCCTATGAGCTTACTGGGAAACAAATACGTCCTTTGTATGGCCTACTTTAGCACATGGGCGGTGGTATACCCGATTCCAAACCAGGAAGCTAAAACAGTAGCGGAGGTATTCATCTACAATTGGTTTGCGAGATACGGAGTACTTATAGAGCTACACTCTGACTAAGGACGAAATTTTGAATCGGCGGTATTCCAATCGATGTGCCAGAAACTGGATATCCGGAAAACTCGAAAAACGGCTCTTTATCCCCAATCAGATGGCATGGTGGAACGATTCAACCGAAAGATTGGGTTGTCCACATACCCTTTAGAAAGAGACGTCCAACATCCTGGAAGAGGGGCTGAGAGAGATACGTGCTCTTGTGGGACAGCGTACTTTAGGTTTTAATGCATTTAAATTTCTTTGTTTGTTTGAATTTATTTTATATTTGAACATATCCACCTAATTTCTCTAGTGTTTTGAATCGTGGATATGCTACTGCATACTTTTCAATCTAAAAACGTCTTGACCCTTGTAAACAGTTGTTTGTGAGACACGGCGTAGTCGAACTAGCATTGCAAGAACTCATGAAATGATGCCGAAATTTATGGATAATTTTCGTGAGTAATTGAATTCATGAAATTTGCTTTATGCAGCCAATTTTTACCTAAATGATTTAATGACTTCACCTACGTATAAACGTAGTATAATAAAGGCGCAAACAGTCAACGACGTAGCGCAAACGTACGTAGCATCGTATAAATTCACTGATAGAGAGAGAGAGAGAGAGAGAGATACGGCAACGTCGCCGGTATGCGCTGGTAAGTTTTCGTAACACCCGATTTACATGATTCAAGTACTTGAAAGCAATTCTTGCTCATTCTCTTTTGTGTTTTCTATTTGCTTATACACGTTTCAATTCTGTTGAATTCAAGTTTTGGTTCTTTAAATTGGAAGCAACGAAAATGCCAAAAGCAAAGCAAGAAAGTTGAAACCACTTGACGGTACTAGTCCCTTTTCTTCTCACCCCCTCTCTTCCACATGCAAGCAGAATTGAGTTCAATACTTGAACTGTGTAAAAGCAGTCTTAACACGCGAATCCCATAAAGGTAAAATTAGTCAAGAGCGCAGAACTTATACTTAAGCTGAATATAGTCAAGAACGCAGAACGTATACTTAACCGCAGTCTGTATACGCAGAATTTTGTTGATTACTGGAGCCCTCAGTGTTGCTTACTGCAGTGTTGCCACTCATCAATGCCTTTTCATAAACTTACCTTTTTAACTAAAATTGTTCGTGCTATAATAGATCACAGCTAAATAAAAACAAGTAGTAGTTTTCAACAAAAATCTTATTCAATAGAGAATAGGAAATTATAACTTACTTACCATCTGCAAAACTGACGAATTGGCAACCATCTATAGAAGGAAGAAATCAGCTGACACGAAAAAATCTAAATTCCGCAGATTTCTGCGCTACGGGGTACAACTACAGAAAAATTCTTCGGTGTTGAGTTTTCATTTACATGGCGCTCTCGTAAGAGAGATCGTGTCAGCTGACTCGGGTTTACGTACCGGTAGGTTTACGTTCTCGACTAATTTCAGCTTAAAGCTTAAAGCTGAAATTAGTCCAGAACGCAGAACGTATACTTAAACCATGTCTGTATACGCAGAATTTTTTCGATTACTGGAGCCCTCAGTGTTGCTTACTACAGTGATGCAACTCATCAATGCCTTTTCATGAAATTCCCTTTCAACTAAATTTTTTCGTCTTATAATAGATCGTAGCTAAATATAAAGTACTTAGTTTTCAACAAAAAACCTTTTTCAATAGTAAATTTCAAATATTTTAAACGTATTTTGAATAGGAACTTATGACTTTTTTACCATCTGCAAAACTGACAAAGTGGCAACCATCTATAGAAGGATGAAATCAGCTGACGCGGAAAAATCTAAATTCCGCAGATTTCTGCGCTATGGGCTGGTAAAGGTGTTCTTGCACGATGTGTATTTGCATGTGTACATGTCGCATGCC